GTGAAGGCGCGGGGCCCAGGGCGAGGGCCCCGCTCGCCCTGCCCTAGGGACGGCCCTGGTTTTTATTGAACAGAAATCGAAATATCTAAACCAATAGGTACATCAATAAATAACATACACAATAATGTAAAAAAGGTGGGTAAGTGGATGTCGCTCTGCTGTACAGTAGGTTACAAGTGGGTCACTGTATAATGGATGCTATTAAATTTGAATTCAATGATACAATATCATTGTATAAGAAAAACGATTCTGAGCGAAAACGGTATGTCAGTCTAGGTTTAAGACATATTATATACATATCTATGGTATTAAAAAAAAATTTACCTATAATAAATTCCAAATTAATCATATCACAATATCCATTAGGTACTTATAACACGTTATACATCAATAACAAACCCTGATACTATCATAGATATATAATATAGTGTACTTTAGAAGTTTCAAGTACCCACGAATAGTATTATACACTCACAACAAAATAACTAAAATAGGTATGCTAGGTTTATTAATATGTAATTTCGACCCATATTTGAACTTAAAATGTCTGTAAAAAATAACTGCTTATATATTTTTTAGATTTTTTGGCTACAGTATGAACTATTTATGAGAATCTTTTTTTTTTAAATTTTCAATCCTTAGCTATAAAAACTGAACATTTTATAATTTATTAATTACGATGATTGATAATTTTCGAGATTATGATAAATGTTGTCAAAATTCGATCTTTAAATGCTTATAAAAAAAATTGTGTCTTTATATTTTTAATATTTTTCAATTGCTATTGTAACAATATATCAGGAGCCTTGTATTAAATTTTTACATTTTTTGGCCCAACAGATAAAACTTTATTGATATTTATAGAAAAAAAAAACTAAAAAAATTGAAAACTGAAAATGTCCGTAAACAGCTCAAAAATAGTCAAAATATTTTAAAAATTGTATGGTGTATAGGAAATGCTAATATAAACATTCAGTGAAATTTGCATGTATCTACAGTAATTCGTTTTTGAATTACAACAAAATAAGGAAATCGCCACATGAAAAATTTGAATTTCAAACGCTCATAAAAATTTAATTTGACTTTCTTATAGAATTTTTTTTTTTGATAAATGTAGGAAATCTTATAAGGAATCTTGTATTACATTTTCATATCTTAGATTTAAAAAGAAAAATTTTTATGAATTTCTAACTCGAAATAATTTGCAAATTTTCGTGATTTTTCCATATTTTGTCATTTTTTGAACTTTAAATGCTTAAAAAAAAAACTGTGACTAACGATTTTTTAATATTTTTCATCTGTCTTTGAAACAATATAGTAGGAGCCTTGTATTAAATTTTCAAGTATTTTTACTCGACAAGTAAATTTTTATTGATATTCATAAAAAAAAAAGGTGGGTAAGTGGATGTCGCTCTGCTGTACAGTAGGTTACAAGTGGGTCACTGTATAATGGATGCTTTTAAATTTGAATTCAATGATACAATATCATTGTATAAGAAAAACGATTCTGAGCGAAGACGGTATGTCAGTCTAGGTTTAAGACAAATTATATACATATCTATGGTATTAAACAAAAAATTGACCTATAATGGGTACCTATAATAAATTCCAAATTAATCATATCACATTATCACAATATCCATTAGGTACTTATAACATGTTATACATCAACATCAATAACAAACCCTGATACTATCATAGATATATAATAGTACACTTTAGAAGTTTCAAGTAGGTACCCCGTACCCACGAATAATATTATATAATCACAACAAAATAACTAGGTTTTTTAATATGAAATTTCGTCCAAATTTGAACATAAAATGACTATAAAAATAAACTGTGATTGTATATTTTTTAGATTTTTCGGTAAGAGAATTAACTACTTACGTAGAATCTTGTTTTAAATTTTCAATCCTTAGCTATAAAAACTGAACATTTTATAATTTATTAATTACGATGGTTAATAATTTTCGAGATTTTGAAAAATTCTGTCAAAATTCGATGTTAAAACGCTTATAAAAAAAAATTGTGCCTATGTATTTTTAATATTTTTCAACTGATATTGTAACAATATATCAGGAGCCTTGTATTAAATTTTTACACTTTTGGCCCAACAGATAAAACTTAATTGATATTTATAGAAAAAAAAAACTAAAAAAATTGAAAACTGAAAATGTCCGTAAACGGCTCAAAAAGAGTCAAAATATTTTCAAAATTGTATGGTGTATAGGAAATGCTAATATAAACATTCAGTGAAATTTTCATGTATCTACAGTAATTCGTTTTTTAATTACAACAAAAAAAGGAAATTGCCACATGAGAAATCGAGTGAATATCCAATGTTGTAAAAATTTGAATTTCAAACGCTCATAAAAATTTAATTTGACTTTCCGGTAGAGATTTTTTTATTGATAAAGGTAGACAATCTTATGAGTAATCTTGTATTAGATTTTCAAATCTTAGATTTAAAAAGAAAAATTTTTACGAATTCTTAACTCAAAATAATTTGCTAATTTTCGTGATTTTTCCATATTTTGTCAATTTTTGAACTTTAAATGCTTATAAAAAAAAATTGTGACTAAGGATTTTTAATATTTTTCATCTGCCTTTGAAACAATATATTAGGAGCCTTCTATTAAATTTTCAAGCTTTCGCAACCAACAAATAAAATTTTATTGATATTTCTAGAAAAAAAACTAAAAAAAAACTAAAAATGAAAATGTCCCTAAACTGTTCAAAATAAATCAAAATATTTTGAAAATGTTATCGTGTATAGAAGATGCAAATATAAACAACCAGTGAAAATTTCATGTATCTACGGTCATTTGTTTTAAAGTTACACCAAAAACCAGAATCGATTTTTTGGAAAACCGATTTTGCGTAAAAATTCCCGTTTTTCCTTAATTTTTATGTTGTTTTTCCCGGCGCTCTTGAAAACTACTGGGAAATTTAAATTTTGACCTCCCCAATGCACCAACGATATTCACTTTCCAATCGAACAAGATACTGAAGTCGAAAATCGAAGCATTATTTCGACTACTTATCGTGTACACAGACACAAAAAAAATAAATAAAAAAATAAATATAAAAACACACATCATTGTAAAATCAATACATTCATCGTTTCACTCAGAATCTAAAAACTAATAAAATTGGAAACTGAAAATGTCCCTAAACAGTTAAAAATAAATCAAATTATTTTGAAAATGTTATCGTGTATAGAAAATGCAAATATAAACAACCACTGAAAGTTTCATGTATCTACGGTCATTTGTTTTAAAGTTACACCAAAATCCAAAATCGATTTTCTCGAAAACAGATTTTGAGTAAAAAATTCCCGTTTTTCCTTAATTTTTCTTTTGTTTTTCCCGGCGCTTTTGAAAACTACTTGGAAATTTAAATTTTGACCTCCCCAATGCACCAACGATATTCACTTTCCAATCGAACGAGATACTGAAGTTGAAAATAGAAGCATTATTTCGACTACTTATCGTGTACACAGACACAAAAAAATGAAAAAAAATAAAAAAAAAAACACACATCATTGTAAAATCAATACATTCATCGTTTCACTCAGAATCTAAAATGCATTACACTATTGAAAAAAATCTATGCAAAGAATTTAGAAACTATTTTTATAAATATTTCTAAGTTCATAGAATTTTTTATACACTGTCAATCACCGTATCTGAAGGAGAAAAAGCTTTTAGTAGGTTAGAAAATCAGCTTGAGTGGATGTGATACCCGCATGTGTTGTTCCGTCTTACAAGGAACATGGCAAATTTTAGGCTCAGCGAAACACGTGTTACCTGTGGCTCCAATAATTTAAAAATTAGACTTCTTATAAAATCTAATGGTAAGATTATTATCAATGCAACCTCATAGGCTTTTTATTAGATATATTTTAATTTTAAACTAATTTAAAGCAAGTTGTATTTTATGATTCACTTACAAACAATTTACAATTCATAACTTACCTTAAAATTAAAATATAATAAAAAGCCCATGACGTTGCCTAGATAATAATCTTACCTTTAGATTTTATAAATTATAAGTGGGAGGTCAATTCACTCTACTGAATGTTACGCACTATGATGGAGAAAACATACGCAGGCGAGGCGTCCCCTAAGACTTGACATAGGGCTTCAACCAGCCAATAACAACTTGATTTACTTTCATTTTTATCTTTTTAAAACCGTTTTGCCTCAAAACCACACAATTATTCATTATTATTTCAATGATTCTCTCTATAATTATTATTAAAATTTATACTATCGTAATCACCTATGTATTGTTATTATTGATTTTGTATACTGTCTGTTGGCAACCCACGTGGTGCCATGATGGGGAGTTTACTTAAATCAAGTTGTGATATATATTATATTCAGAACAATTTTTCATTTTTCCTGGATGGACTATCTTTTCCCTGTATTTGTTAATTGTTTACCACTCTGCGCATGGCGATTTACTAAGCCTGCTAGCCTTTTTTTCTTGAATAATGCACTTATTCAAGATCTGAATTTTTAAATTTTCTTAAAAACAATATTTTCAAAAATTCTTAAGATTTTTGTACTACTAAAGGAGGGTCCTGTGGTGATAAAAACTTCAATGTTTTAAATGAGAACCCCATTTTTTACTGTAAATTATTTTGTGATATTTCTGAAAATTTTTACGTATTAAATTCAAAATTCAGAGTATTTTTCACTTATTAAAATGCTTATATTAATGATAGTAGTCTTAAAAAATGGTATTACGAAAATATAAAGTACACATAATATGTAATATCAAATCTTGTATTTATTATATTTGAACTAAAGATATCAATATACAAAAGTTTACAATCAAATTCAATAATTTATAGTAGCTTACAATTAAAAAATATATACCTACTAATCATTAAATTATTGAGAAAAAAGATTTATCAACTGTTTTAAATTAAAAATTTACAAAAATTTAACCCAAAATAAAATAGTTATTGTAAATTGATAATCTAAATTCTAAATCTTAGTTTTTTGAACAGCACAAGGTGCACGTCTGTCGTGGACATCCACCGCTCTTAGAGCAAAATAGTAAATATGTCCTAATTCAAACACTTCTAGTTCACAAGCCATAGGCAATTTATCTGCCTCTATGTTGCCCTTTTTTTTCCACATAGAGGTGTGTGGAGGTGCATCTGATTCTTGGCATACAAATAGTTCATACATTTTGATCTTTGCTGTCTGCCAAGTCAAATTCAAGTCCCAAGTTAAAATCACTTTATTTTCTGAAACCTCGATTGACATATTAGGTCTTGGAGGCACGTCTTTCCATGAAGGTTGACTATTATGTGGTGGTATTAAGGGATAAGGTGGTGGATACTTTAAAATTGAAGACTTTAAATTATAGTTTAAATTCTCAGCATCTTCTAATTTCTTCATTGAATTACAACTTAAGAAATTTATTGTATTTGATTCTTTGTTATTAATAACTTCACACTCATTTAAACGCATTTTTTTTGCAGGAGTTTCCTCATTTTCAGCATTAAAAGGAACCATATCACTGACAAACATTGTCTTTGATTTTGGCCCAGGTTTCCGTTTTTGTATATTTGTGGATAAAAATTCTCTATTAATTAAAGTGTTGCCGGCTTCAGTTTTAATTGGCAGTACTTTATTATTATCATTTGTTTTTGATTTCGAAGCTGGCTTAAATTTAACCTCCAAGTTTTCGGTATCATTGTCTAAATCAATAAAATCAATAATATTATCATTTTTAGTTGGTATTGGTTTGATTTTTGACGTATCAGTTATGACAAGATCATCTTCACTATTTGATTTACAATTTATGTTCGATTTCGGAGCTAGCTTATATTTAACCTCCAAGTTTTCGGTATCATTATCTAAGTCAATCAAATCAATAATATTATTATTTTTAGTTGGTATTGGTTTGATTTTTGAAGTATCAGTTATTATGACAGGATCATCTTCACTATTTGATTGACAATTTGTTTTCGATTTTGGAGCTGGCTTATAATTAACCTCCAAGTTTTCGGTATCATTATCTAAATCAATCGAATCAATAATATTTACATTTTTAGTTTGTATTGATTTGATATTTGACGTATCAGTTATTATGACATCATCATCACTATCTGATAATGTAAATACTTGACATTTCTTCTTAGAACCCTTAAGTGCATAGCTTGCTGTATCACTGGTCCTAAAAAATAGTTAAAAAAGTAAAATATTATTTAGTAACTTTAATATTATGTATTGAATTGATTTATGGACACATTAAACAATATGTTATGTATGATAAAACTAATTAACAAGTGAAGTTACTTTTAAATTCATAATTACCTATATAAATATTAGAAAAAGGATTCAATATTTTTATTAAATTAAAATTAGTTAAAATTTTAAAAGAGAGAAAGTAAGGAACTGTACATACAGCGAGGTCAAATTAGTCATTGTAATGCATGTGTTATATAAGAATTCAATGATATTCTGATCAAAATCCTTCACAGTCTGTCCGCCTATGTGAACAAGCATATTTGATGAAATATTAAAGTAATTTATATTACAATTACTAATATAATAGGTTGAATTAATTACGTGAAAACCTTGCATTTAAAAATTTCATTGTGAGAATAAAATATAAATGTTAAAAGTTTCAAATACCCAAAAATACAATTTTTAAATTACAACAAAAAACCTTTAAATTTTTTACAAGACAATTTACTGTTACAGTATAGAACAATAAGTAAAATAAAGGACGATTTAATGCTGTGAAAAAACGGATTTAAGAAACTTTCGATGGAGGGCACTTACTCCATATAACCAGGGGCGGATTGGCGAATTTTTACAGCCCGGGAAATATGGATCAAACCGGCCCTGCACGGCAAAGGTAACCCCCCACCAAAAAACAAATTGTCATCATTTTACTCACATTTCAAAATTTGTTTAGTTTCACCCATAAATTAGTAAAATATATAATAGGTACCCATAATTAAAGTTATAACAGTTTAGGGTTAGTCAGATAAGGTTAACCTGTTCAGACTGTTCTAACTCGAACTTGAAGTTTGATCTTATTACATTTTAGATTCTGAGCGAAGTGATGAATGTATTGATTTTACAATGATTTGTTTTTTTTAATTTTTTAATTTTAATTTAATTTTTTATTTTTGTGTCTGTCATCAAATTTTAGGACAGTAAAAATAGTAAATACTTAGATTTTCTTCAACTAGATTCACTTTTCTGCTAGGAAAGTTAATCTAGTTGGTACTTTGGGGGATCAAATATAAAAATGTCCTGGTGGTTTTCAAAAGTGCCGAGAAAAACAAAAGAAAAATTAAGTAAATCGGGGAATTTTTACACAAAATCTGTTTTCGAGAAAATCGATTTTGGTTTTTGAAGCAACTCCAAAATAAATATGATTATATAGGTACACGAAATTTTGACCGAATGTTTATATTAGTATTTTCTATACACCATAACATTTTGACTTACTTTGAGCTGTTTACTGACATTTTCACTTTTTTTTTCTACAAATATCAATAAAATTTTATTTGTTGGTTAAAAAGCTCCTAGTATATTGTTTCAAAGGCAGATGAAAAAAATTAAAAATCCAGTCACAATTTTTTTCTATAAGCATTTAAAGTTCAAATATTGACAAAATACGTAAAAATGACGAAAGTTTGCAAATTATTTTGAGTTATAAATTTTAAAACAAATTTTAAAACACATTTTTAATACAAAATTCCTCGTAAGTTTGTCTACCTTTATCAAAAAAAAAATGTCAACAAGAAAGTCAAATTATATTTTTATGACCTTCTGAAATTCAAATTTTTACAATATTTGATATTCACTCGATTTCTCATGTAATGATTTTCTTATTTTGTTGTGATTAAAAAACGAATGACTGTAAAATGTAGATACTTGAAAATTTCACTGAATATTTATATTAGCATTTTGTATACACCATACAATTTTGAAAATAATTATCTCTTTTTGATGTTTTAACGGACCATTTCAAATTTTAATTTTTTTAGTTTTTTTTTCTATAAATACCAATAAAATTGTATTTGTTGGGCCAAAAAGCCTGAAAATTGAATACAAGGCTCCTGATATATTGTTACAATATCAGTTGAAAAATATTAAATATACATAGCCATACATTTTTTTTATAAGCAATTAAAGCTCGAATTTTGACAAGATTTATCAAAATTTAATAATTATTTTGTTGTTAAAAATTTATAAAATGTTCAACATGTATAGCTATAGCCTATAAGGATTAAAAATTTAAAACAATTTTAAAGGTAAATAGGTTCCATTAACCGTTTTTTCTTTTTTTCTCGTACCTTTTCAGCTCCACCCTTCTTTCGTTTTTCACCAGCATCACACATAATTTAAATCGCAAAGTTCAATCGAATTTGTATACTAAACACAATTCTGTAAGTACAGTAACTCGTTTGTGTAAAAAGTTCAAAATAAAAAAAAAATACAAATAATGATAAGATGAGGTTATTAATGTTATCACGTAAATAAATTCTACCATAGAGTATAAAATATAAATACTAAAATACCAATACCACAGATTTTTAAATAATACATTAGCATGAATTGGAGGGATAATAGTGTAAATACCAAAATTCTTACTATGAATTGCAATAGTTTAAGATATTGAAAATAATACCTTCGTAGGTATTTGATTTTTAATATATTTTATGCTTAATTTATAAAAAATTAATTTTTTTTGTAATTATATTGTAATAATTATAGCGGCCCTGCAGGCCCTCACAAGAACCGGCTCATCGGGAAGATTCCCGATTTCCCGATAGGCCAATCCGCCCCTGATATAACAGATAACTTCATTTGTAATTCTTTGTTTAAAAATCTAATTTTATTTAAATTTTCAGGGTTCGAAAGCACTGGGTCGAACCCATTAAAACCCAGTGGGTTTTAAATATGGGTACAAATTTGGTACTCTTAAATAAAACGCGGATAAAAAAAAATGATTTTTAGATTTTTTGCTTATAAACTCTTTTTAAATAAGAATACACCGGGCATCAGATGAAAACTGGTCGCCTATCCTGGCAGTTTCAGCAGAAATTACTCATTTTGTGGTAGAGGCGTGTTGCTGGCCACCTCTGATAATGATTTGAAAAATAGTATGGTATGAACCAAGGCTGGGCATTAACGAGTTAAAGAGTTAAAGTTAAGTTATTAAGTTAATTTTATTTTAACATTCTAAGTTAACTAGTTACTTTTGGCTTTTCATTAACTTAACTGTTAACTTACTAAATATCTTTTTTAATTAACGTGAAATTAAAGAATTAATTTTTCATTTTAAGAAGTAAGTTAATATATTTAACTTAAAAAAATTAAGTATGCTAGCGTTGTATAAACAAATTAACTTTTTTTTAACTTTATAAAAAGTTAATAGACAATAGTTAAAACTTTATAAAAACTTTAACTTTTTGTTATACATGCATATTAACTTAACTTAACTGAGAAAAAATATTGTGCCTTTACCTATCTTTAATATTTTTAAATAGCTATAACAACAACTTGTGAGGAACATAGTATACATTTTCAAACAATTTGTTAAGCAAAAATTCTTTCGACAATAATTTAAAAATAAATTTAAAAATTGAAAATTTCTTATGCCTATAAAAAGATCAAAAAGTCAATATTACATTATAATAAGCCTATAACTTAAATATATTTAAGTAATGCATGGAACTTTTTCTTCAAATTCCCACAATAACAAGTTATGAGGAACCATAAATTAAATTTTCTAACCTTAGGTATATACGCTAAAAAATTTATAATTTTCAATGACAAAATAATTTGCAAGTTTTGTGAATTTGACAAATTTCATCAATAGTTTTAAGTTTAGGCTTAAAAAATATTGTAACTAAGTATTTACTGTACTTTTTAATTGGTAAATGCACAAATTATGGGGAACTTCTCAAATTTTCAAGCTTTTTGAGAGAGTGAAAAATTGTATTATCATCCATAGAAAAAAACTAAAAAAAAAATTGAAAATTGAAAAAAGCTCAATAAGAGCCTACTATTTAATTATGTATAGAAAACTTATTTAAACTTTTAATAAAATATTCATGAATATAAGGTTGTTTCACAAAAAAAAAAATTGATATTTTCATTTTAGGGTTTGCATAAAAAAAAATTGTTTTCAGTTAACTTGAAATTTTTACTATTGACCCACCTAAGTACTAAGTAGCTCCAGTTTGCTACCAGAAACCATAGCTTAAGTTAAAAATTGATGTATTATTACTAAACCAAAAGGTAATGAGTGTTGACAAATAGAAAAATACAAGCACATCTTGGTAAAATCAAAACATTCATAGCTCCAAGTTGAATTTGGTTAAAAACCAACAAATTATTTATATATAATAAATGTTATTTTTTATACATATCTTACTTTTTCCCTTTGTCGGTCATTGTAACTATAACTTGTTGATTAACTGAAGCAGAAAGACACCTCACTGGTTGTGCAAACTTATTTATTTTTAAATCTTTCTTCAAGGCACTTCCAATACTATCTAACATTCTGGCTTGAGTCTCCAATTTTTTATATTTTGATTTCCAATCCTGATGATTTATCAAATTATTTAGGGCAATAATATCCTCCTCTTCGTGCCTTTTCAACATAAAGTTAATACATTCACGTTCTACAATATTATTGAAGTTTGATAGTGAACATTTAACTACACTGTCGTCTATTTCTAAATCTATCTGAGGTACATCTTTTTTGTTTTTGTCTCGACCTGACTTATGATTATTCATTTTGATTTTCCTAAAAATTAAAAATATAATAATAATTTAGCCAATAAGAGTACAAATTAATAAAACAAATAAGTAGGTATTATGCTGCATGATAATTAACACGTAGACTGCGTATGTCTTTTTGCAGTTTTCACCCAGTGTGTATGATAAAAGTAAAAACAAAATAAATTTAAAAAAAAAAAAAAGATACTGCTCATAATGACATATGTATACATATTTAAGAACATGCGTTTAAACCACGCTAAATAATAATAAAATAACATTCAGCCAGACGTAGGTAATTTTAAATCATTTTTTTTTAATGTATATTAGATGCCATGTGGCGTCAAATGCGTTGCTGAATGATACTTATGACGCCAATTGGCATCAGTATGCAATCAATGTGTTAATATACAAAGATAATGTTAATGAGGATATGTATCTATTTTGTATTTTTGTGATAAAATGTAACCAAGCCATAGACTAGTAAACAGTATATTACACAATTGAAGTACTAATATTTGTTGTACCATTTTAAAAATATTTGTAAGAGATTTAAGGATTTAGGGCACCGGTCCAATGTGCGACCTACACATACATTTTCGGCCCAGTGTGCGACCTACATACAGGTATTACCTACATATTATACCTAATATAGGTAATATAGGTATAATATTATACCTATACTGCATTTTTAATAGTTATTAATTAATTTATTATTTTATCCTTTAAATTTATAAATATTAATAGTTATTATAGTTATTAATTCATTTAAAATAATTATTTTATAATTAATTATCCTTCTTGTTTGATAAGAATTCATTGTAATTGTATGTATAATTTATGTCATAAAAACATCTTTCATGTTTGATAAAAATTCGTCAAATATAGTTTGCTTGTTTGGGTGAAGAGATCTCCACCATTCCTCTTTAAGTTGTCTCGGTAATAATGGAGATGCGCCGTTTACTCTTATTTCATATCGCTTTTTCACTATTTTCCACAAACATTCTATGGTTTGGGTATTGGCATTTGTATCAAATAAACCATTTTTGATGATTCACAGTACTTACTGTGTATGTACCCTTCATTGTTTAATGACGAATAAGCTCTCCATTCATCACTATGAATTATACTTCCTAGTTCTACTTCATTTTTAATTATAGGCATTAATGAAAATACACACATTGGCCGTAGGTCGCACATTAGCCCGGCAAAAATAAGGATAGGTCAATTATCAGTTGTAGGTCGCACATTGGACCGGTGCCAGATTTAGTTCTCACAAATATTATGTAAATTGATTTACTCCACTGTCGTGATACACTGAATTGATTTAATTGGTCACCAACATGTTGACATTTAAATAGTATATCTACGATGTATCAGTAACAATAGTTATTAGTAATTTCCATAGAGTTAAATGTAGGTTGACCATATCACAATTCATTGGAAACTATATTTCAAACAGCAAACAATTTATAATAGGTGTATATAACTGATATAAGTATTAGCTAGGTACATATTATACCTGGTTCCAAAAAAGAATAAACCAGGCGGTCATGGGCAAAACTGGTATTCTTACGTAAATCTGGTGTCTTCTCTTTTGGAACAGGGTATAGACTATAGAACCAGTAAATCATGATGTGGTAAAAAAACCTAATGGTAAGCGTAAGAATTCAATTAAATATTGCATAGGAAAACAATAAACCTATCTAAGCAATTATAATATTATACCTATTATTTATTTACCTCAATGATTGACTGGGACTATGACGATGATAAAAACCACTGACCGATGGAGATGTACTGAGGAAAAAGCAATTCAGACAGGTGCTTATAGACGATTTTGACCACCACAGTATGATGATAGATCATCAATAATTATCATCGCTGTACGTGAATTAAATGACCACTGATCTGGTGGGATGTGAATCTTTTCTATAGTGGTCAGTGGTGGATTGGTGATTAGTCAGTGAATCTTGGTTTGGACAATTTTGAAATATGATTCGCAGCTATGTCCAAAATTTGAACGAACAAAAAAAAAAGCATAACCACGGTCCACGAATAAAGATAGCATATCGAGTATAGACTAATCACGAATTAAAATACGGGACTGTTCATGCCAGTATGAATTGAATTAATACATACTGGACGTCTGGAACTCGATGGAGCTATGAATTACAATCTAGACGCCAATTGGCAATTTGATTTGCGCCTTCGGCCCTGATGTCACCGCTGATCATGCGCAAAGCTACAGCAAACGCGCAAAAAATCACCACAGTCATCATGTTAATAATATGGTCCAAATATCCCGGTGAATTATTTTTCACACCATGAAATTAATAAGAATTAAGACATACAGGATACACAACGGGCACTTAACCACAGAACAATAACCAGTTGTTATAAGAACTAAGAAGTAAGAACCTTCTTCGTTCTTGAACTGACAGATAGCGCTAGAAGGTGGCGGTGGTGAGATTTGTAGTCTTGTACAGAACAATACAGAAGCGACACTAGTCTGCTTGGTGGTCGATCTCTGGTGGGTTAGTGACTATAGTGTTGAAGTTGTAAATGATTACCTGGTGGTTTAGGAGTTTTGTTACAAACGATTTTTTTTTTACAATAAACGGTTTGTTGTTTGTTTGCGTTTTAATACTATAAGTTATAACCTAACCGTTCTATGCCTATATGGCTTACGGCTACCCAACAACAACTATTAACTTATAATTTTTCGCATTTCACGTTCCACATAAATTATAAATTATAATATAATTTATTATCATTTCTGTGTTATCATAATGGTATCAAGTATCAGGCCTATGCAACTCAAGAGTTATCTACACAAAGAACTGTTGTCGATTTCGCACTAAAAATCCGGATCTAGCGCTCTGCTGCGCTCTAGTGGTTAATATTAAAGCCAACGATCGTCTATATATTTATTGTATAAAGCTAGATGGTACACTAAGCACATCAATATTATTATATTATATATCATGGTATATATATATACATACAAAACTTGTATTTAGTATTGACTTGGTTTTTTAATTAGGTTACACAATTAGTCATAAAATAATAAATAATCATCCTACATCCAATCACCTACCCAGGTACACACCCACCCACCGAATTTGTATGGGTTGCTGATGAAACACATGAACTATAGGATCACCGCCACTGGTAGGTACTACAGTCTATAAACTATATATTGCCATTGGTAAAAAGAGTCCTTAATAAAGTTAAATAATACATTTCCTTAAAAGCCTTTCAGTTTAAGATTTCTTTCAAATCAAAAAATAAGCTCAAATAATTATTTATGTACCTACATTAGCTTGGTAACTAAGTATAAAACTTGATATTCTAAAATCTGTCCAAAATTCACTGAAGGAATAGATAATCTTAACCAATAATTAATTTAAATCAATAAATTTAAATTACCATTCCAGGTGTTACAAGTAGAGTAGCCAATATGTCATCATCTGTATCTTTATGAAATTCTTTGACAGGAGAAAATAGATTATTCTTACAGGGAACAGCTCCTTGCTTGATAATAGTATGTTTATATTTTTCCTAAGATTTAAAAAACAAATTAATACATTTTGACTTAGGTATAACTTGTACCTATTATTATAATATAACTTCTCACCTTAGTCAAAATATTGCCTGTAGAATCTTTTACAATTTTTTCTCTCACAATATCTGCCGAAGAAAAATGTTTTTCACAGATTCTCTGTCCAACACTTAACCCCTGAAAAACATTTCCCCAAGTTTCTAGTCTTTTACAAGTCACCACAAAACTAGTAATACCTTCAGTATTCTTTTTACATATACAACATAATTGGGGCATTTTAAATGAAAGAAGTAACAAAAATGTAGTAACTAAGACAATTTTTGAAATAATTTTATTATATCAATATCATTGAGCTTAATACATTTTGTTTAGTTTTAATGGTTATAAGTTATAACCTATATAGTTTAACTTTGTATTATATTATTCTAAGACGGTGGTATAACCTATAATACAGAATATAGAATATATTTACTTAAATTATACCTATGCATTTTATGCCCTTATTTAATATAACATCTAAAAAAATATATATATATTATAAATAAATTGAAATGCTTAGAGCACCATCTACTATATAGATCTATACAACCAATATATTAGCGTTCGTACAATACACTACTAGAGAGCAGCACTGCGCTAGATCCGGATTTTTACCGTAATAAAAACACCATTCAGGCGTCGACTTGCCAGACCTATTATTCTAAGACCGTGTCAAGTATCAACTATCAATTATTGAAATATATGATATGAGCCGTCAGCTGATTCTCATAAATAACAAAATGGCAGTGCCCATGAGTTCAAGGCCGTGTCCCCACTTTTTTCAAATAGCATTAGGAATTGTGAGAGTGTCGTACCCCGATCTGAAGTCTGAACCTACGAAAAACATGGTATTAGTATACTTGTCTATGGTATTGGTTCCCGCACCAACATGGTGTTATACCCGTGGTTACCAATATTGTGAAATCGGTTCCAAGGCGGGATACGGCTTGTACCACTAATTGTACCTATGTACCATTTTATCATGATAAAAGAACATGGAATGATGACATCTTTTCCAAATAATTGACGGACTGCGAAAAACAAATCGCGGTTCTTTTGATTGGTCAATAGATTCCCGAGAAAATGTATTAATTTTAAATAGTACATCATCGTTTATCTAAAATAAATAGTAAATTGCTATTATTTAATAAACTATTAAATTATTATCTTAATATTATCTTCTATATTTTTGATTTTTAACTTGATTACCACAGAATAAGTTATTGTGTGAGCTAATGCTACAAGTTTCTTAGTTATCCCTTTCGTCATGCCTGTTTGCGTGTATTATGGTTGTACAACCAGTAACAAAAAAAAAAGGATTATAAAGGATACCTCGGTGCATGTCCATTCTTTCCTAAAAGATGAACAACTAAGGGCCGTTCTTACAATGTCCGGTAAAGTGTCGGTTAACGCT